TATTTTTTTCATTGTAGCAAAATGGCTTCAGTAAAAATAGACCTCAGGAAAAAGAAATGAATTACTGCTAACTGAAACCACCTAGATGAAACTCTGGAATTCTGCTGAGTGAAAACAGCCACAGGCACAAAACTAACACCCTGACTCCATTTAACATCTTTGAAAACAAAAAAATCAGAAATGGAGACCAGGTCACCAGGGTTAAGGACGGCAGAGCAAAAAAGAAAAAAAAAAAAAAAAATGGCAGAGCAGGGATAGTGGGAAAGGAGGTGCTAAAGTGCAACAGGGACCCACACAGTACTGGAAATGTGCTACACCCCAACAGTGAAGCAGACACAGATCTTCCACTACAATGAAACTGGGTAGAACTGAACACACATGGCTCAGCAGCGAAACCAGAGAACCATGAATACGGTGTAGAAAGGCAGCAACGTCAAAGTCCTTGTGACACTGCACTATGTGGTTCTGCTGGACTTAAGCACTGGGAAATCAAGCAAAGGTTACAAGACACGTCTCTGTATGCCTCTTTATATCTGAATACATGTAATTATTTCTTATTTTTACAAACTTCAACTGAAACAAGGACAGCCAGACATGACACATGCCTGTAATCCAGGACTTGGGAGGCTGAGAAAAGAGGATCACTTTAAGTTTGGGGCCAGCCTAACTACATAGTGAGTTTAAGGTCTGCCTGAATTTCATGGTAAGATCCTGCCTCATAAAATCAGCAACTAAACAAAGGAAACATTGGTCTGACCATAACAGCACTGTACCCCTCAGTGGCCTAGTCCACTGCTGAATTTATAGCTGACCATGCTGTCCAGAGTGGGCCAGGCTGGGGAGGTCTCTCTCACGGATGCTCTTCCCTGTGCTGCATCCCTGCCACCATGACCTGAGCAGCCCTCCTCACCACACCCTTCCACCAAGATATTCTTGCCAGCTGACAGTGAACTGAAACCTTGGAAACTGAGTCAGAGATAAAGCTCTCCTTCTTCAGGGTGGTACCTGTCCAGCATCGTGTCCCAGAAGATTGACCTGTGCCTTTCTAGATTTCGGAGCCATCTGCCTCCAAGCCATCGCTGCAGCACTCCCACTCAGCCTGCCAGTGCCTCTTCTCACCATATCTATGTCCCACCAGGTGCTTCCAGCCGTCCTGTGCCCTACTTCCCTATGAATCCTTCTGGTGCACAGCACACAGCCTAAATCCAATACTAGTTTTGTTTAAAGTTTTCTTTAAGCATCACTTACTTTTAGTTGATGGGTGGTTTTGGAGTTTGCTGGAAGTGCCTGAATCTCTTTTTCTTTCAGTTCTTTGTTCACATGTTGTACAAATGGATCTAATTCAGAAAGAGATTGGCACACTTAGCTCTAATGGCAGGGGTTCTCTGGTCTTCTGCGAGGATGGCACACCGATCTTCATAGTGTCAACTCATCTGTCTTTCCATCTACTCTCCCCATCCACACCTTAAAATTTCAAGCAGGCTCACTTTCCCAACACAGCTCTCTAAATACTATTTCAGACTCAAAAACCTTTGGGGAAACTGCTCAGTTTCAGGCCCTCTAGGCTGCATCTTCAACCTCCTCTATAGTGTAACTTCTGAACTACCAACCCTCAAGCCCTCTTCCCTCTATGCACCCCCTGCCTCTGATCAAAGCTTCTAGCCTCTTTCACCTCATTTTTGCACATCTAGGTATAATCGGTGTAACATCGATTTCAGAGGCTATCCATCTCAAGTCCCCACCTGCCTCACATACATTCCCCACAGGCACATGCTGGAGTCTCATCTCATCTAGCACACAGCAAGTTCCCCAGGGCAGGTTCCATATCTGACTGATCTTGCGCTGAAAGGTTTATAGCTGAGATCTAAAACATTCCTCCAATTCTCCTGTGCTGTAAGGTGGGGCTTCTGGAAGGTGTCTGGATCCTGGGAATCTCTGAGATCAGCAGGTGAGTGTGCTGCTAGGAGGAGGATCTGGCTAGAGTGCAGCACTGGAGGCTGGCCTGGGGGCTCCCTCCCTAACTCCTCCTTTCTCCCCAAGTTCTACAGCAGCTTCCTGTACCTGGCCCTCCCCTATGCTGTTTCTCCATCTGTACCCACCAACTATGGACTAAGACCTCTGAAATCATGAGCCAAACATGCCTTTTCCTAACACAGTAGGTGCTGGATATTTATTCCAGGGATAGAAAAGTGACTAAGAAGAAAGACACATTGGGGTAAAGATGGTGGTGTATGCCTCCATTCCCAACTCTTGGGAGGCTGAGCAGGAGGGCCACCATGAGCTGGAGGTCAGTCCGGGCTACATCAGTTAAAGGCCAGCCCAGACTACATAGCAAAACCCTATCTCAAAAAAAAAGACAAAAATTCTAGATAATTAGGCTGGGCATGGTGGTGCACACCTGTAATCCCAGCACTTTGGAGGCTGAGACAGGAAGATAATGGCAGGTTCAAGGCCAGCTTGGGCTACATAATGAGTCCAAGGACAGCCTGAACTGTATAGTGAAATCCTGTCTCCAAAAGAGAAATGCTCGACACTGCACTGACATGGCACACATCCCAGAGGACAGCACCAGTACTCTGAGTCCTGTCTGGCCGCCAGGATCTCTCCCAGGCTCATTCACTAAGAAACAGCACAGTTAGATGACTCATTGGAGGATGTAAAAGGCAAATCTTCAATTAAAAAGCACCTTGTGCTAAATACCAAAAAGTGAACAACACAATAAAAATTCTAAGGGCCTTTCCTCTACATGGGCAAAATATCCAAATTTCTCAGAGAGTCAGCTTCCTGATGTTTGCCCCAGGGTTTCCAAGTCTTGGTGAAGTTTGTGTTACAATTGTACACATTCTACCTACTCCTTTTTCTTGTATAGAAGCTAAATGAAGTAAATGGTCCAAAGGAGCAGCATAACTTCAGCTGCCCTGACGTCTTCTCTGGGCCCTGATCTAGCAATGTGAGGGCTGGGGAGCTGGTCTATCCACTACACTTTTTTTTGTGTGTGGTACAGGGGATTGATCTCAAGACCTTGTGCATGCTAAGCAAGCACTCTACCAGTGAGCCACATCCCCACCCCTCCCCACTACCCTTCTTATACAGCCCATTCTCTCACATATCCCTTCCTTAGCCCTCACTCCAATGATGGACATAAAATGCCCCGCAGAAGTATTTTCCCCATCGCAGAACTACTGTCTTTAGTACTGCTTATTCAACAACAGAAGACGAAATGTGCATCAGTGTGTAACCCCATAAGGCACTTGGGGATTCAAGCAGCACCTTGTGACACCTGCAGAGAGCAGCTGTCTCCACCTTCCTCAAGAAAATTGGTCTCCAGGCTGAAGAGCGCCTCATGCTTTGCATCTGTGAACTCGGCTGAAGACTGCTGTGATGTGCTGGCAGGCTGCTCTTCTCCACCATTTCCCTCGGGGTCACCAGATAAGGCCACATCTGTAGTTTTGAGAAACACCTTATAAAACTCTTTACACATAAATACGTTTTCTACTGACAAAGCCAAATACTTTAGTTTACGCCATAACACATGTTCATGGCTATCATTTACTTTTAAATAATGAAAAATTCAGGTGGAGTAGATAAATTTCACATTTGATCTCAGCCAAAAGGCTGAGAAGCAATGGTGTGGATAAATTTCAGCTAAACTTGATCATTCCACCACTGACTCAGTCTGTGACCCTAGATGGGCCACCACACCTGGACATTTGATCAAACACATACCTACCTACCTACCTACCTACCCACCTACCTATCTTTCTTTCGTTTCTTTCGAGACAGGGTCTTGCTATGCAGTTCCGGCCAGGCTTGAGCTTACTTCTGTAGCCCCAAAGCCAGTCTCCAACTCACAGAGATCCTCCTATCTCAATCTCCCTGAGTGCTAGAATTACAGGTGCACAATAACACACCTGGTTCTGGAATATTTCTATGAATTGTTTCTTATTTTGTTTTTGAGGTACTAGGAATTAAGCCATACCTCACACTGGGCCAAATGCTCTCCCACTGAGCTATACCCTACTCCTTTTTATTTTGAGACAGGGTCTCACTAAATTGCTGAATTACCCACACTGAGCTGAAACTTATGATCCTGCTGTCTCAGCCTCTTGAGTAGCTGGGCTTACAGGGACACACCACCACATGGGGCTTATAAGCATGTTTTTAGATGAGATTTACATCTAAGTCAGTAGACTCTGTGTAATGCAGATTCCTCTCCTTAATGTGGCTGAAGGCCTGAGGAGAACAAGAGAAAGCTAACCTCCATCAGCACAAGGGAGCCCTTCCAGCATAGGGCTGCTGAGCTCCCGCTGCAGCACACAGTTCTTCCTCGGGCTCTGTCTGCCTGCCTCCCCCATCACTTCTCCTGGACTTGCCAAGTCTCCAAAATCATGAGTCAACTGCTTAAATATATTTCTTTTCATATATATGAATCTGATTAGTTCTGTGTCTCTGGAGAACTCTAATGCATCCAGTCCCAAGTCCAGGAACTTACTCTATCACGATACACTAAGATGTTCCTGAAAACAGACAGGGTCTTGCTATGTAGCACTAATAGTATCAGAAGTAACTAGAGAAAAAAATGAGCTGGGGCGGTGGTGCATGCCTGCAGTATTAACATTTGCAGACTAAGGTAGGACAATGTCTGTAAATTGAAGGCCAGCCCCGAATATGAGAGAGTTGAAGACTAATAGGAACTATAATGTGACACCTTGTAT